CACGCCCCCAGCCTCCTTCTTCAGCCTTCAGGTAATAGATTTGAAAAAGCCGAGGAAATGCCACTCAGTAGGTTAACTGCGAGGTTGGTTGAGAGTAAATGTAAACGAACACACACACCCCAGTTTTGTGAAATCTGGTAAATTGCAGTAAGTTTAAATTTTTTACATGATTGCAATGACTTTTTTTTTTTTATTTGAAGGGGGAATCAGAAGGTCTTCATCTATGTCTTACGTTGATGGCTTCATAGGGACATGGCCCAAGGAGAAAAGGTAAGCGGAGAATCCTGTCAGTCTGTCCACATGACCAGGAAACGCCAGCTCTCTCTCTGTCTCTTCTGCTGTTGGGCAAATCGCAGTATACCTTTCCTTAGTGCCTGTGGGCAGGTGATCGATCGAGGGGCTGCGTGTAGAAGTCGCCCATGGCCCTCACCGTACCTTGAGGACAATGTGATGGAGAAGCAGTTACCACACCTGTGGATTCAACCAACTGTGGGTTGAAAATATTCAGGGGGGCAGGTAGGGGAGTTACACCGTTGCTGACGTGTCCTGTGCAGTCAGGCCTGTGAGTGAATCTGGGCTGAACATGTGCAGACTCTTACCATCATTCCCGAAACGATACGGTGCAACAGTCACAGCATTTCCATCCATCGGGGACTCAAGTCTCTACGGAGACGGAGACGCTGTGACGTGCACAGGAGGGTGAGGGTCACCGCAAACACTACCGTTTATGGGGGAACTTGAGCTTCCTCCGTGTGGTCCCCGCGGCGGCGTCCGGGAGCGACCCCCGCAGATGCCGAGGGAAGGCTGTGGTTGTACAGAATCGTTCGGTGACATCAAGCCGTTTCTTTTCTGGGATGATTTAAGGGTTTTCTCTTTGAATTTTTTAGATCATCGGTGCATGGAGTGTCATTCGATATTTCTTTTGATAAAGAAAACACGGTGCCGAGAGGCGCCCCGAACCGAGGCCTCCCTCGCTCTGTCAGCAACGAAGGCCTTTCTCTGAACAACAACCGAGCGTCTAAAACCACAAGGAAGAGCCTGTCCTTCAAGCCCGTCAACGGGGAGGGGGAGGCAGGAAGCATCGAGGAGGAGCTGAGCACAGACCCTCGCGGAGGCTTCCCGACCTACGTGCCCCACCCCCCGCACAAGCTCAGCTCCAGCGAGAACACCCGCTACCAGCTCCCCAACGGCGCCCTGCAGCCCGGGCTCCTCCTGGACGAGCTGGGCAACCAGGTGGAGACGCCGAGCATCGAGGAGGCGCTGCAGATCATCCACGACACAGAGCAGCGCCCCCTCGCGCCCCCGCCCGGCCACGTGGCCAACGGCTTCTTCCTGCACAGCCAGGACCTGAGCCCCCTGAACGCCAACCTGCAGCTGCGCCCGCCCAGCCCTGACCGCCTGACCGACACCAAAGGTGCCTTGAGCCCCGTGACCGACGACACCGAGGTGGACACCGGCATCCACGTGCCGTCGGAGGACCTGCCGGGCACGGTGGACGAGGACTCGTCGCTGCGGGACTACACCGTCAGCCTGGACTCCGACATGGACGACGCGCCCAAGTTCCTGCAGGACTACGACCTGCGCCCCGGCAGCGCGCGCGAGGCCCCGAGCCCCTGCCCCAGCACCGTGAGCACCCGCTCCCAGCCCGGCAGCAGCGCCTCCTCCAGCTCCGGCGTCAAGATGACCAGCTTTGCCGAGCAGAAGTTCCGGAAGCTGAACCACACGGACGGCAAGAGCAGTGGGAGCAGCTCTCAGAAGACCACGCCCGAGGGCTCGGAGCTGAACATCCCGCACGTGGTGGCCTGGGCACAGAGCCCGGAGGACGCGGGCCCGCCCGGCCGGGACAGCACGCAGCTGCTGGCCTCGGAGGTGCTGCAGCTGCACATGCGGCTGGAGGAGAAGCGGCGCGCCATCGAGGCCCAGAAGAAGAAGGTGGAGGCCGCCTTCACCCGGCAGCGGCAGAAGATGGGCAGGACGGCCTTCCTCACGGTGGTGAAGAAGAGGGGGGACGGGGGCGCCCCGCTGCGGGAGGAAGCGGCCGGGGCGGAGGACGAGAAGGAGTTCAGCGAGCGGGCGCCGGAGCGGGAGCTGCCCAGGGCCAGCGGGCAGCGGAGCAAGTCTCTGGCGGACATCAAGGAGGGCCTGGAGGGTGCCCCCGCCCCGTGGCCCACGTCGCCCACGGACCCTGAGCGGCCCTGGGGGGCGGCGAGCCCCTCCGAGGAGCCGGCGCCCGAGGGCGAGGTGCTGGAGTACACGCGGTCCATCGAGAAGCTGAACGCCTCGCTGCACTTCCTGCAGCAGGAGATGCAGCGCCTGTCGCAGCAGCAGGAGGCGCTGATGCGGATGCGCGACCGCCAGTCCTGGGTGATCTCCCCGCCCCAGCCCGCTCCCCACAGGCCAGCCCGCGACCCCCGGCCCGCCCGGCCCGGCCCGTCCCCCGAGCCCCCGCGGCCCACCCACCCGTCCCCGCAGCCCATCCACAGGAAGAGCGCGTCCTTCTCCATCAAGACCCCGCGGACCCCGCGGCCCAACGAGCTGAAGATCGCGCCCCTGAACCGCACGCTGACGCCGCCCCGCTCGGTGGACAGCCTCCCGCGGCTGCGGCGGTTCTCCCCCAGCCAGGTGCCCATCCAGACGCGCTCCTTCGTGTGCTTCGGGGACGACGGGGAGCCGCAGCTGCGGGAGCCCAAGCCCGGGAAGGACGGCGCGGACCCCCCGGAGGCCTCGGAGCAGCCCGCGCGGCCCCCGGGGGAGGCAGGGAAGCCCGTGGAGTCCAGCGTGTCCGAGGTGCTGGCCCAGCCCGTGACGGAGACCGTGTGCCTGACCCCCAGCGCGGACCCGCCCGGCTGGCCCGCGGAGGCTGCTCCCCGGCCGGCCTTCCCGCCCGCGGCCCCCAAAAACGTCAGCCTCATCGAGGTGTCCCTCTCGGACTTGAAGCCCCCAGAGAAGGCCGACGTGTCTGTGGAGAAAGAGGACGGAGAAAGTGACAGAGAGCAGCTCGATGACGAGCAGAAAGTGTGCTGCGGGTTCTTCTTCAAGGTACGCCCGGGCGGCGGGGGCGGGGGGCTCTTTAGTGGATGTGCTTCTTCCAGGAGCAGCCCTGTGGTCCCAGCCCACCAGCCCTGAGCCCCAGTGCAGGCTTGCTCCCCCAGGGCACTGCAACACACACAACCCACTGATTTCTAGAACATTCTCGTCACAGTGCTCACGGTCATGACGCACATGGGTCCTGGTGCACACGGTCCTGGTGCACATGGTCCTGGTGCACACGGTCCTGGTGCACACGGTCACGGTGCACACGGTCCTCGTGCACACGGTGCACATGGTCCTGGTGCACACGCACACGGTCACGGTGCACACGGGCACACGGTCCTGGTGCACACGTGCACACGGTGCACATGGTCCTGGTGCACACGGTCACGGTGCACACGGTCACGGTGCACACGGTCCTGGTGCACACGGTCACGGTGCACACGGTCCTGGTGCACACGGTCACGGTGCACACGGTCACGGTGCACACGGTCACGGTGCACACGGTCCTGGTGCACACGGTCCTGGTGCACACGGTCACGGTGCACACGGTCCTGGTGCACACGGTCCTGGTGCACACGGTCACGGTGCACACGGTCCTGGTGCACACGGTCCTGGTGCACACGGTCATGGTGCACACGGTCCTGGTGCACACGGTCACGGTGCACACGGTCACGGTGCACACGGTCCTGGTGCACACGGTCCTGGTGCACACGGTCACGGTGCACACGGTCCTGGTGCACACGGTCACGGTGCACACGGTCGTGGTGCACACGGTCGTGGTGCACACAGTCCTGGTGCACACGGTCACGGTGCACACGGTCCTGGTGCACACGGTCACGGTGCACATCTGGAGGTGCTGACCTTGCGCCTCTGCCTCTCTCACTTACACGTGAACTGTCAGCCCGGCTGGCGTGGCGCAGGGGTTGAACGTCGACCTATGAACCAGGAGGTCACCGTTCGATTCCCGGTCAGGGCACAGGCCCGGGTTGTGGGCTCGATCCCCAGTGTGGAGCCTGCCCTTCCTCAGGGCGCCCCCACTAATCCAGAGCCCCCACCTGGAAGTGCAGCGGCGCTTTCTTTTGGGGGTGACCTTGGGAGCTGCTGTCAGGGCTGTGACTTGCGTTCTCTGTGGAGCGTGTGTTTAAAGCCGTTTACCTGCCGCTTTCAGCACTGGGGACACCTCCCCACTCGAGTTATTTATTTGGATCCAGAAAAGCACACTCTGTCCTTCCTTTCCTTCTCTTGGTTGGTTGGTCTTTGCTAACTTCCCAGGTTTAGAAACAAGTAAGTCTATGTCCTGTGTTACTTGAAAGAATGGAGCGTTTTCATTCATTTCTTCCCTCCAAACGCCTGGAACGTTCCATGGATGGGTGGGGTGGGAATGAGGTTGAGTCGGTATTTCCGGTTTTCAGTTATAAAAATAGAAGTTGAGAACATCGGTCCCTAACGCCTCTCCCTGTTTTCAACGTGTTCTCAGGACGACCAGAAGGCCGAGGACGACATGGCGCTGAAGCGGGCGGCGCTGCTGGAGAAGCGGCTGCGGCGGGAGAAGGAGACGCAGCTCCGCAAGCAGCAGCTGGAGGCCGAGATGGAGCACAAGAAGGAGGAGACCAGGTGAGGGCGGCCGGGGGGAGGGACAGGTGAGGGGGGACGGGTGAGGGGGGATGGGTGAGGAGGGACAGGTGAGGAGGGACAGGTGAGGAGGGGACAGGTGAGGAGGGGACAGGTGAGGGGGGACAGGTGAGGAGGCACAGGTGAGGGCTGGCTTCTCACCGAGTTTTACTAGTAGATGTTAGAGCAGGGGTGGGCAAACTTTTTGACTCGAGGGCCACAATGGGTTCTTAAACTGGACCGGAGGGCCGGAACAAAAGCATGGATGGAGTGTTTGTGTGAACTAATATAAATTCAAAGTAAACATCATTACATAAAAGGATACGGTCTTTTTTTGTTTTAGTTTTATTCATTTCAAACGGGTCGGATCCGGCCCATGGGCCGTAGTTTGCCCACGGCTGTGTTAGACACTTGTCGTGTATGGACAACTGAATTAATGCTGATTTTGGTGATTTTTAGAAGCTGATTTATTTTCCCAAAGGATTACTTGCTTGTGTATTTTCACTCTAAGTTGGAGGCATCAAAGTGAAGTTCTTCAGAAACCACATTAATTTTAAAACAACTTCACTGGCCCTGGACAGGTGGGTCAGTGGTTAGAGCATCATCCTGCTGCACCGTGGTTGGGGTTCAACCCCCGGTCAGGGCACACACAAGAGTCAGCCAATGAATGCATGGATGAGTGGAACCACAAATCAATGTTTCACTCACTTTCTCCCTTCCTCTCTCTCTAAAAAATAAAATAACTTGACTGGGTTTTACACACACACACACACACACTTTTTTAAATGGCATATTTACATAGATTTTAATGACCTAAATTATCTGAAGTATATATATATTTATTTTACCTCAAGTATATCTTAAGGGACCATTCCCCCACGTTGCTGAAACAGAACAATTCCACCTTCCCCATCGCTCTCCCACGTCTGTTCTCTGTGGTGCCGGATAAGAACTGGAGCCGTTTGGTTTCTTAGGCGGAAGACGGAGGAGGAGCGGCAGAAGAAGGAGGACGAGAGGGCGCGCAGGGAGTTCATCCGGCAGGAGTACCTGAGGCGCAAGCAGCTGAAGCTCATGGAGGACATGGACACGGTGATCAAGCCCCGTCCTCCCACCGCCAAGCAGAAAAAGCAGCGCCCCAAGTCCATGCACAGAGACCACATGGAGCCCCCCAAGACCCCCACCCAGGGCCCTCCAGGTAACTGGGTGTTGCGAGGTCTGTTCATGAAACGCCGGCCTGTTGTCATAGTCACGTGTCCGCACGGCGCTCCGCTAGACCAGACCCGTCCGAGTTCTCACACCCCCTGTCTGGGAGCCAGGGCGAGCAGGACGGCTTAGGTGGCTCGCGTGGCTGCTGTGTGCATGCGTGTGGGTCCCGCGTGCATGCATATGGGTCCCTTGTGCATGTGTGTTTATCATGTGTGTGTCCTGTGCGCATCTATGTGGTCCCATGTGTCCTGTGTGCATGTTTGTCCCGTGTACATGTGTGCTCGTAAACCATGCGTGATGCTGACCTGTTGGCTCTGCCCGGTGTGACCCCGCATCACTTGCCCACTTTCCTCCTGTGAGTCCAGGGACCCCGTCCTGGCCTGGGGTGTCCGGTCCATGTCGCGCAGGGGGTGTGGGGCCGAGTCCCAGCTCCTCTGACAGACGGGGTTGCAGCCCCAGCTCATGCTTTTAGAGGTGGGAGGACGTGTCTTTTTACAAATGCAACATGCACGCTCACTTTTAAAACGATGTTTGTTTTGTTGCAACTAAAAACCATGGAACGTTGTAGAGAATTCCCAGCAACTCCACAACGGAGGGAGAATAGCACGACGGCCTCTTCCGGCTCATGACACGTGATGCCCGTCTTGGCTAAAATCAGTCAGTTAATTTCACCGGGAACGAGACAGTCCTGGGTGCCTCTTATTCTGCTCGTTCATTTTCTTTTCTCTCATGATCAGCACCTCCTGCCTCAGGTTGCATGTTCCTCCTGAACGACTCCTCACAGCAGCAAGCCTGGGCTTTTCTGGGAAACAGGCTCCTCCCTCCTTTCCGGGGAACGGTGCCTGGCCGCGGGCAGCGCTGTGTGGAGAGGGAGCAGAACGGGGGGCCTGGCCGCGGGCAGCGCTGTGTGGAGAGGGAGCAGAACGGGGGGCCTGGCCGCGGGCAGCGCTGTGTGGAGAGGGAGCAGAATGGGGAGAACGCGGCTGCCCTTCCCACAGGCCGAGAGGGCGAGCGAGCAGACGCCTCCTGCTGCTGGGAGGGCGGCTGCTCTCACTCAGGTCACAACTTCATTGTGTCTTTCAGTCTCTAGCCTCTCCCTGGCGTCACTGACCACGGGCGACAGCGAGAGCGTGCAGTCCGGCAAGAGGACGCCCAGGTAATCTACCCGTCTGTCTGTCTGTCCGTCCGTCCGACTGTCCGAGGGAGGGCTTCCGTCTCGCAGGATGAAGTCGTCCTGGCCGTTAGCTCTCAGGCTTTGCTGACGAGGATAGAGCGGTTAGGACGTGTGTACAGAGGCTCTGTTCACCTTTCAGCGGACAGAGCCTAGAACTAGTGACATTGATAAGACACTTCTATAAGCTACAGACGTCAGCAGTGATCACTGACGGGGTCGTGGCAAAGCCACGGGCGGTGGAACCGAAAGGCGCCAGCCTCGAGCTGTTTCCTGCCAAACACAAAGTGTCCCCCCCCGGGGTCGGCCCAGAGCAGCTGCCGTGGGCACAGGGCTCCGGCTCCCCTGCCCTCTCCCCGTCACCTTATTCCCAACGCCCAGAGCAGCTGCCTCGTGCCGTCAGCCTCAGCGATGCCATCCTGTTGTGAGTGGCGTTTCCACAGGGAGCCGTTCACTCCCTCGGTGGTGCCCACGGGTGCTCTGCCGGGGCCTGGGAGGCAGGCCCAGCGTGCGTGCTCTCAGTCGCTGGGTGGTGGTGGTGGAGCGCTCACGGGTCCCTCTGGCCACGCCCTCTGTGTGTCTGAGACGTAACCGTGTGGTCCTTGCTTCAGGTCGGAGTCCGTGGAGGGCTTCCTGTCCTCGAGCCGCTGCGGCAGTCGGAACGGAGAGAAGGACTGGGAGAACGCGTCCACCACGTCCTCGGTGGCCTCGGGGACAGAGTACACAGGTGGGCGCGGCTGTGCCCTTCACGGGCCGAGAGGACAGACTCCACGCGGAGCTTCTGGCTCATCTGGTCCAAATGCAGAGGCTCTGGCCGAGCCTGTGGGTGCAGGGGTCAGTCTCAGGGGGTCAGTCTCAGGCTGCAGGTCCGCTCGGGAAGGCGGGACTGGGCCAGATGAGCTGAGACAAATCTCCGAGTGAAACTGCATCCTCTGGCCGTTTCTGGGCTGTAATTGGGCCAGAAGACGTCAGTCTGTAGGACTGTGCGGCTTTAAAACCATTCATCGGGCCAGGCGGGCACCCAGCGCACGTGTCCCTCGGGCCCTCCCAGCCCCGGGCCGTGTAGGCGCCGCTGGATGGGAAACGGAGCGGGAGGATCAGAGCGGGGAGGGGTGTGGCCGATGGCAGGTGAGGGGAAGGCACCGTCCAGGTGGGACCTGCAGTGGAGTTAGAGCTGCCGCCGCCCCCGTGCATGGGACCCGGTGCCCAGGGCCGGGTGCGCCTGTGTGGGGCCCTTGGTCTGGCCGGGTGCACCTGTGGGGCCCGTGGTCTGGCCGGGTGCACCTGTGGGGCCCGTGGTCTGGCCGGGTGCACCTGTGGGGCCCGTGGTCTGGCCGGGTGCACCTGTGGGGCCCGTGGTCTGGCCGGGTGCGCCTGTGTGGGGCCCGTGGTCTGGCCGGGAGCGCCTGTGTGGGGCCCGTGGTCTGGCCGGGTGCCGTGGGAGCGCTGATGGCACCTCCGACTGGGGAAGGTCACTCACTGTCGTGACATCCTCCCGCAGGACCAAAGCTCTACAAGGAGCCCAGCGCCAAGTCCAACAAGCACATCATCCAGAACGCGCTGGCGCACTGCTGCCTGGCGGGCAAGGTGAACGAGGGCCAGAAGAAGCGGATCCTCGAGGTGAGCGGGCGCCGAGCGGGCTGCAGCGGGAGGGCGGGTGCGTCCCGGCTCCATCGAGGGCACAGCCTCCTGGCTCTCACCTTCCACACGGAAGACCCGTGACTGCGCGTGACCGCGAGGCTGCGTGCACCGCACGTGGGCCCCGCACGGCGGGGACGGTCGGAAATTACACAGTTTGTTGCCCAGATTGGCTCAGTCGTGCTCATGAGCGCAGATCATGTCGTTTCCAAATGCAGCTGCTCTGTGAGGAGACACAGGCCGGGGGGGGCGGCGGGGGGGCGGCTCCTGAGACAGGACTGGCCGCTCTACGCGGCATCATCCCGGCAGCCAGCAGCGCCTCAGCGTGAGGTGGTGGCACCGCCTCGCTCTTGTAACAGGTGTGGTGCTCTGGCTTTTAAGGATTTATATTTGATTAAATGTCATCAGATTTGACTAAGAAACGCCCTGCAGTTACTCGGCGGCATGTGCGAGGGTTCTCACTGGGTCGTGTGCGGCTTGTTCGCAGGAAATGGAGAAGTCGGATGCGAACAACTTCCTGATCCTGTTCCGGGACTCGGGCTGCCAGTTCCGGTCTCTGTACACCTACTGTCCGGAGACGGAGGACATCGCCAAGCTGACCGGGATCGGCCCCAAGTCCATCAGCAAGAAGATGATCGAGGGCCTTTACAAGTACAACTCTGACAGGAAGCAGTTCAGCCACATTCCAGCGAAGACGCTGTCGGCCAGCGTGGACGCCATCACCATCCACAGCCACCTGTGGCAGAGCAAGCGGCCCGTGACGCCCAAGAAGCTGCTGCCCACGAAGGCGTAGGGTCGGGGTTCCCTCCGGGACGTTCGTGGGGACCGCCGCCGCCTCCTGCCTGGGGAGCCTCCCTGATCGCCAGCGCACCCGTGTTCGCTGCACTGGGCGCAGCTGCTGCCGGCGGCTGGCGCTTCACCGGGCGGGGGCGGGTTCTCCTCGCCGGTGGTGCCTGTGGCGACGGACGCCGGGTCAGGTGGAGGGCGTGGCCGACCGGCGCGGGCCAGGGGCACGGAGCCCGCCTCACACTGTTGGACTGAAGGGGAAGACGGCGAGGGTACAGAATATGGGTTTATCTGTTGCTTTTTTAACACTTTCCATGTATGTGCTTGTCCTCATGTTTATTTTGATGCCTTTCTCTCCGTGGGGTTTATTCCGAGGTCCCTGTGTTGTGTCCCGTGGGGATCACGGAGGGAGGTGGCCGCGCAGGCCGCCCGCCTTCCTGTGATGCGCGGGGCCCTGGTGTTGGTCTGACGGGACCTCGTGTTTCCTGGTGTCAGAGCGTCGGAGCCGCAGTAAGCGTGCCCGCCTGTGTTTCTCACTCACTAGTATTAACGTCTCAGCTCGCGGGGGTGTGGGAGCTGCTGGGGTTCGCGGAGCCCCCGGAGCTCAGCCAAGAGCACGTTTCGGGTTAATCAGTGTTGTCTGCTTCCCGCCCGAGGGCCGGTCGCCTGGGCTGGGGCGGGGGCGGCTCTTTTCCTCATTTTATTTATAACTGACATCCAAACTATTAGAACTTACACATGTACAAAGGGCTACACTTTAATTTTAAAACAGCTTCCATGACTTTGCTTACGTTGAGTTTTTCTTCTGTATCCCATCCGAGAGGGCGGCTCAGAGCGAGCGCACACGTGCCGTGGGCGGGGCTGTCCCCGGCGGCCTGTGCTGGGCTCCTGGGAGCCTCGTTCTCAGGAAGATGCGGGCGATCATGGGACCCGGGCTTGGTGGGTGCGGCAGCCGTGGGCCTCGGGGAGCCTAGGGGAGCGTCAGTGTGTCAGACAGGAGGGTAGAGGCTCACGGGCACGCGTTTCTCACTGAGTCGTTAGAGTCGCTGGCATCTCCTGTGATGCACGTACTTGGAGAGACAGGAGGGACGATGTCGGACGGGGCTTTCCCGTCGTCCCAGGCCCTTTGGGCATCCGCGCCTCTGAGTTCCCGACGCTCTCAATGCTGTCGATATCGTCCTGTAATTTATGTCCTTATATTTATGTATATTTGTTAAAACTGTAAAAAATTCACAGATTTTTTCCCAATATCTGTGCAAGATGTATGTGTAGCTCAAACTACTCGTGACCTGCTGTCTGCATGTGAGAGGGGCCGTGTGGCTCTCGTGTTGTAAGTGGATACACGCCGTGTGTAACATGCGCATTAAAACGGGGAAACGCACACGTTACCGTTCAGTCTGTCACGTTAGGGGACGGGTATCAAATGGCGTTTAGATTAAGACTGGCTTAAAAAGGAGTAAATAAACCGAATTAAGATGTGGCAAATAGTCATCAAAAAGAGAATTAGTGAGCATCGTACATAACTACATTTGGTCTTTTTTTTTTTTTAACGTATTTTTATTGGTTTCAGAGAGGAAGGGAGAGGGAGAGAGAAACATCATGGATCGGCTGCCTCCTGCAGCCCTGCACTGGGAATTGAGCCCACAACCTGTGCATGTGCCCTGACCAAGACTCGAACCCAGGACCCTTTGGCCTGCAGGCCGACGCTCTATCCACGGAGCCAAGCCGGCCGGGGCTACATTTGGTCTCTTAAACCAGGTCTGGCTCCTGCCGCGTCTTCCTCATGTCGCCAGGACATTACATTTTCAACAACTGGACGTAGGTCCATGGGGGCAGAGTCACGGCCAACAGCCGCCCGCTGGTCCCCCGTGTGCGTGGGTCCCGCAGCTGCCGCCTCTAAAGGTAGCGTGTGCTGTCGCCGCAACAGCCCGCCACCCTCAGTGCAGCATCTGCTTCCTTAATGGTGCAGCCGTTTTTAAAAATCGCGTCCGAAGGGTTCGATGCAGATCATGGGCTCGTCGGTCCTGGGGGTTCCCAGCGACCCGCTGGCTGACACACACCAAGGTCAGGCGCCCGCGACGATCGCTCAGGTGCACCTGCCGCGCTCCGGAGCCTTCTGCCCTCGTGGCCCGGGGGTGGGGGTGGGGGGGGACTGTCAGGGTGTCCTCTGGCCCCTGAGAGCCGGGCCAGCCTTTCCGGGGGACTTCCTGGCGCCGCCCACCTGCCCACAGGCGCACGGCCCCCGCCCAGTGTGGCTCTCCTCGCCCGAATAAACGCATGGCACCCGAGACCTGTGTCCTGAGTGAGATGTGGGGTCTGTCTGTGACACTATCTGGACTTGGGTGACTCGTCACGGAGTTCTCCGGTCAACCTGCCAGCCCCCAGCCGTGTGTGTGTGTGTGTGTGTGTGTGTGTGTGTGTGTGTGAGACACACCACGGGAGAGCCATGGGCGTCCTGGTCGAGGAGCGACCCCAGACGGGAGGGGTGCGTCCTTGCCAAGCAGATCCTGGGCCTTTACGTCTGGGACCCCTTAGCGCCGACCCTGAGCCTCTGAGGGGCTGGCTCTTGGTGCCACCGGCTCCTGCCCGCCAGGGGCCACGAGGGGGTGGGGGCAGGTGAGGCCCTGAGGCCACACAGCTGCAGCCCCGGCTTTCATTCTGAGTCACCCCGGGGCTCTGCTCACGTCGAAGACCCTCCCTTCCCCTCCCAGCGCCTGTGCGGTGGCTGCCAGGGTCTGAAAGAAATGAGTGTCTGCAACATCTCCACGGCCTCGGGCATCCAGGGCGGGACCCTCCCCTGGTGCCTGCCAGGTCTTCACACACACGCACACGCACACAGATACATGCGCACACACAGATACACGCATGTGGATGCCCATGCACAGACAGCCGCCACCTGCCGCGGGCTGTGTGGTCTGCGGGAAACCCCATCATGGTGGCCGCTCGGTCACAGTGGCTCCCCGCCCCCAGGTCAGTGTTTCCCCCGAGAGAGAGTGGCCCCATAAGGGGAGGTGGCTTTGCAAGGCCTGCCTCACGCTCTGGCCCCAGTCACTGTCCACCAACAGCAACTGAATTGGCAGCCGTCTGTTCTTCAGCCCGGGACCCCAGGCCTGGTGAACTGCGACTCCTAAGCCACTTGCCGACCACCCACTGTGTGCAGAGAAAGCGACCACCCACTGTGTGCAGAGGAAAGCGACCACCCACTGTGTGCAGAGGAAAGCGACCGCCCACTGTGTGCAGAGGAAAGCGACCACCCACTGTGTGCAGAGAAAACGTGTGTCCTGGAGGCGGGAGCAACGGGCCAGGGTCACTGAGCCGCCCACTGTGATGCCAGCCAAGGCCCGGGGCCCCTGCAGAGCCCGGGGAGCCAGCATCTCTGGGCCCCACCCAGACCCCGCCCAGGACGGGGCTCCCAAGGCGGCTGCACCCTCACGGCGCCCACCAGGCAGACGTGGAAACAGGCCAGACTGGTCACTAATGTTCTGACGCAGACACGGGCCCTACAGACACAAGGGCACAGCAGAGGGCGGTTCCCAGGATCCTTGAACTTTTATTTGTCCGTGGCCGTTGCTAGTCAGTGTTATTTGATGTCAGTTTCCAGTACAGCATGTGCTTTGCATCGAATGGTCCTGGGAAAGTTCGAGAGAAACCTGGAAAGAAGAAAGACTGCACTCTAGGGAGATGGGGGAGCTGGCAGACTTGTTTTCTAACAAGAACAGAAGTGACTGCTTCTAGATCAGCAAAGAGGAAGGAACATTTTTAACCTCGGAAATTGCTGAGACCAACAAACGGGGCTACACGACAATGGAAACCTAAAGACGGTGAAAATGGCTGAGAAAAAAGCCGGGGAAATATCTGAACCTGATGGGGCCCTGATTTAGCCTCAACAGTGAGCTCACACACACGGACAGTAACACATGGTCACGCCAGACAGACGTGTGAAGGGCGCGATGAGACGTGAGAGCAACTAAATGTGCAGAGACTCGAGCTCGCTGTGTTGGAAGAAATGCAAATTACAGCGAGGTGCCCTTTGCGTTACCCATAAAAGTGGGGAAATAGGCTTTACCGGTGGACATGCCCAGCGAGATGGGTCGAGCCCAGGACCCAGACAAAACCACACGGTGACCAATCACTGTCCCTCTCGGGCCCTGGGAGTTCCATAGCCTTTGACCTTCACCAGGGCACTTACACCGTGAAAACAGCACCAAAGAAGAAGAAGAAAAAAAAAACCCACAGTCTCACATGCAGTTATTTCATACACATTTCCACAACAGCAAAAATAATTGGGCACAACCTCAATGTGGAAAATTAAGGCGTTAGGAAATTCAGCAACCCAAAGAAATGTGCGGTGATGTGGCTTCTGCCTTCTAATCACGCGTGTGACTGACACAGCAGAGTAAAAACCAAACAGGCCCGACTGGGTGGCTCAGTGGTTGAGGGTTGACCTAGGAACCAGGAGGTCAGGGTTCGATTCCCGGTCAGGGCACATGCCCTGGTTTCGGGCTCCATCCCCAGCTTGAGGCGTGCAGGAGGCAGCCGATCGATGATTCTGTCTCATCATGGATGTTTCTCTCTCTCTCCCTCTCCCTTCCTCTCTGAAATCAATAAAAATCTATATTTTTTTAAAATATATTTTATTGATTTTTTACAGAGAGGAAGGGAGAGGGGTAGAGAGTTAGAAACATCGATGAGAGAGAAACATCGATTCAGCTGCCTCCTGCACACTCCCTACTGGGTAGGTGCCTGCAACCAAGGTACATGCCCTTGACCGGAATCGAACCTGGGACCCTTCAGTCCGCAGGCCGACGCTCTATCCGCTGAGCCAAACCGGTTAGGGCAAAATCTATATTTTTTTAAATTGGAGGGGAGAGTTCTAAGAGCCCACGAAGGGGCGGAAGTAAAACAAACCTACCCTGAAAGCAGTCCAGGTCAGGCCTCGGCTGCCTGTGCCTGGGGTGTGTCTGCCTCACGCTCCTGCCAATCACCCTGATGGACAGAGAAGCCCCGAGGCTGAGGGAGGACCCTCCCCTTTGGCTTTGTTGACCCCTGACAGCAGGTGGCCAGGCATCTTGGAAAGGGGATGAGTGTCTCTCCATTGATTTGCTCCTCCTCCTGTGGGGAAGGGAGGAAGCGGGCCCGGGCTGGGAGCCCACCCGGGGAGGCCAGGCCCAGAGCGGAGGCCCCAGCGCTGGCCTCTGCTGCTTCCTGCCGCCAGACAGGTTCCGAAAGGCCCCGGGGCCCAGGCCCCGCAGAGAGAAACCCCGTGTGCTCTGGGCCACCGACTTCCCTTGGGTGCGAGACCACAGCCCAGGAAGCAAGAGTCTCTGTGTTTTTAATAAACAACCTATTTCCACTTCCCCCACCCCCGCCCAGGCCCCGCTCGGCCGCTCGCCCATCTTCTCGTTCACCTGGCGTTCGTCTCTCCGTTTCAGAATCCCTGGCGCTTTGGGGGCTCTGAACAGAGGGTGGCCAAGGGGGGTGACGTCCAGGGGCTCTGGCCTGGCAAGCGGGCACGGCCTGATGCCATCAGGGGAAGGAGGCTCGGCCCCCAGGCCACCAGGATGTGGGTGCCACTCCCAGCACCTGTGGGATCCGACATCAGGGCAACGTCTCCGCATCCCCCAGCCCTCAGATTCCCACCCCCTGGGGTGTGGGGGCAGCAGGGGAAACCCAAGCCCGGGGGCTGGAGCATCCTGGAGGGAGGACCAGACACCCCGTGGTCCCCGGCCTCCTCTCTCGCTGCCTTTGTCCATCTGTAACAGGCCCGGAGAGGACCCCCTGGACACACGCAGTTCCCGGGGGTTCGCGTGGGCCACAGGGACCCCGGGCTGCCATCTTCGCCCCCAGAGCAGTCCTGGCTCGAGGCGCAGGTGGATGAGGACAACGCCGGCCTCTCAGACTCTCGGAAGGGCCCTGGTTTCAATCATAAATGGCTCAGCGGTTCAGCGTCGACCTGTGAACCAGGAGGTCACGGTTGGATTCCTGGTCAGGGCACAGGCCCGGGTTGTGGGCCTGGGTAGGGGGTGTGCAGGAGGCGGCCGATCAGTGGTTCTCTCTCTTCATGGATGCTTCCCCTTCCTTTCTTCTTCTGCATGCAGACATTCACCCAACATCTCAGGGAGAGGGAGGGAGGTCTGCAGTGAGGAGGAAGGAGCAGGAGCTGGTCTATTCAGGAGATAAAGTGTGACATTGTTGCCGGCTCAGCAGAGAGCAGCCAGGGCCCGCCTGGGTGCTCCTTGGGGACTGAGTACCTGGATGTCACCCGGTCCCCTGAGGTCCGGACCACAAAGAGGCCCGGCTACGTGTCGAATGCACCTGAGAGCTCTGGTGACCGGCCAGTCCCTGGGTGGGAGGCAGGTCCCCAAGGGCAGGCTCCCCACGGGCCCAGCCTCCCTGCAGGACGGTGGATGGGCGCAGGCGAGGCCCCATCCCCAAGCCCCAGGCCAGCCTCAAGCGGATCTGTCTCTGCACCTGCCCACA